CTCAGGACACTTTGGTTATTTCCTTGTCTTGGCCACTGTGAATAATGCTGCAATGAACAGAGAGGTGTAAATATCTTTGTGAATACATGTTGTTGTTTTTTTAGTTTTTCAGGCATATACCCAGGAGAGGGATTACTGATTCATATGGTAGCTCTATTCTCAATTTTTTGAGGAATCACCAGACTGCTTTCCATAGTGGTTATACCAATCTACGTTCCCACCAGCTTGCAACCAAAAGAATGAAATACCTAGGAATAAACTTAACAAAGAACGTGAAAGACCTATATAATGAAAACTACAAAGCACTATCAAAAGAGATTGAAAAAGAAACAACAAAATGGAAGAATATTCCGTGTTCATAGGTTGGAAGAATCAACATAGTTAAAATGGCCATATTACTCAAAGCAATATACAGATTTAATTCAATCCCCATCAAAATTCCAATATCATTTTTTAAAGAAAGCTGAAACTGGTTTGGCTCAGTGGATAGAGCGTCGGCCTGCGGACTGAAGGGTCCCAGGTTCAATTTCGGTCAAGGGCATGTACCTGGGTTGCGGGCACATCCCCAGTGGGAGATGTGCAGGAGGCAGCTGATCGATGTTTCTTTCTCATCGATGTTTCTAACTCTCTATCTCCCTCCCTTCCTCTCTGTAAAAAAATCAATTAAAAAAAAGAAATAGGATGAGAAATCATCAGACATGTATGGAACAACAAAAGACCCTGAATAGCCAAAGCAATCCTGAGGGGAAAAAATAAAGTTATCATTTGTGTTGATGTATATCATTTTTGCCTTTCCCCAATTTAGTAAAAAGAAAAAAGAAAGAAGAAAAAGAAAAAAATTACACATACTTAAAGAACACTGTGAAAGTCTAATTTCTCTGGCCTTTTAATTATTGGCTCCTCTAAAATATCCAAAATATCCAAAACAATTAAGTAGTAATTACACAATTTCATTTTTTTTTTTAATAAAAGGCTGACTTTGAGTCAGAGAATGAAACACATCTGAAACTAGTTAACATATACTTAAGAATCATAGAAGGGCATGGGGACCACCAAGAAAAAGTTTGAGATTTTCTTCTGTTTTTATTAAAAGGATTAAAATTTAAAAAAAATACAGTTAATCCCATAGAAATTAGGTAAAATTTCAGTCCACAACATCTGAAAACAAAAGGTATATTCTAGTATGGCATTTTATCTATGAATTTGTCAAAAGCTTTCTAAATGCTAGATTAAAAAGACTATTTTAACACCTATAGTATATTTATTGATTTCAGAGAGGAAGGAGAGGAAGAGAGATAGAAACATCAATGATGAGAGAGAATCACTGATCAGCTGCCTCCTGAATGCCCCTTACTGGGGATTGGGCCCACAACCTGGGCATGTGCCCTTGATCAGAATCAAACCCGGGACCCTTCAGTCCCCAGGCTGACGCCCTATCCACTGAGCCAAAACAGCTAGGGCCGTGTCATTTCCTCTTTAAAATGTCCTCTAAAGGCATGACTGACAACCAAAAAATAAAAGAGGAAATATCACTTTATCTGTGGATGCAATTGTCTTGACTTTTTTTAGCTCAGTTGGAGAGAGGAGCGTCTAGAAATCATGAGATTATGCAGTTTATCTCTTCAGGAAGGTGTTATCTAAATAATAATATCCTGCAGCAGGCCATCACCTCTCCTGTGCTTCAAGATCTAGGAAGACATGAATAGTCTTTAAAATGCACTTGTATTTGCCTGGCCTGAAAACTCAGTTGGTCAGAGTGTTGTCCCAGTACACCAAGATTGTGGGTTCAATCCCTGGTGAGGGCACATACGAGAAGCAACCAGTCTTTCCGCTCTAGGCCCCAGTGGCTTCCTTCGAAATGGGCAAGTTTATGAAACCTGGGAAGGTGGTGCTGGTCCTGGCTGGACACTACTTGGGACGCAAAGCCGTCATCATGAAGAACATTGATGATGGCACCTAGGACTGCCCTACAGCCATGCTCTAGTGGCTGGAAATGACGACTTCTCCCAAAAAGCGACAGCTGCCATGGGCAAGAATAAAATTGCCAGAGGTCAAAGGTCAAGTCTTTTGTAAGAGTTTATATCTACAATCATCTCATGCCCACAAGGTACTCTGTGGATATCCCCTTGGACAACACTGTCACCAGCAAGGACATTTTCAGAGACCCTGCTCTAAAGCACAAGGCCTGATGGGAGGCCAAGGTCAAAGTTGAAGAGAGATACAAGACCGGCAAGAACAAATGCTTCTGTGCTCAGAGCAGAGGCTTCAGACCTCGTATGTGGGAGACAGTTTGGCAGTGAGACACAGGAGTGAACAGAGAATGAGGCCAAAGGGAAGAGTGAGCTGATGGCTGAGCCATAGCCTTTAGATCTTAGAGTTGGAACCCTGAACCTCCAAATGGCCAACCAAGTTTTAAATTTATACCCAATGGTTCGGATAACGATCCTAATAGTAAGGAACCGTTCAAAGTCTGCGGATCGGGCCAAATGGATGGGGCTGACCTTAAAAATCCCCTATAAGAGCCCTGGCCGGTTTGGCTCAGTGGATAGAGCATCAGCCTGCGGACTGAAGGGACCTAGATTCAATTCCGGTCAAGGGCATATACCTTGGTTGTGGGCACATCCCCAGTAGGGGGTGAGCAGGAGGCAGCTGATCGATGTTTCTCTCTCATCAATGTTTCTAACTCTCTCTCTCTCTCCCTTCCTCTCTGTAAAAATATCAATAAAATATATATTTTTTAAAAATCCCCTATATAAGATCAGGGATAGAAATTTCTCAGGGGCCTAGGCCAGGTGAGCAAGGCCCTTTATTCATAAATGCTGCTTCCTATTCTTATACTGTCATTTCCTGTGAACTTTGCCAAGTTGTTCCCTCCTCTTTCCTTAGGAAATCTGGGATAAAAGAAACAGTATGGAGGTTGAACCAGGCTTTGGGAGTTCAGTAAATAAAAGAGAAGGTGGCCAACACATCACATAGCATTTCAGATGTGTGGACTAACCTCTTCATAGATATCTATCGGTATAGATGGATATCTATGAAGAGGTTATATATTTATATCTATATCTATATCTAATCCCTAGTGGTGACACATACTTTAGAAGCTATCCTTTCTGAGCTCTGGGAAGGTGGGGTCAGAGTAGGGGAGACAGTTGCATTTTCCAATTCTCCACAGAAAGATGGAAAAATTCCCTAGCCTCACTGACGTTTTATGTTCAGGTTTGTTTGTTTGTTTGTTTTTTATTTTCACATTAAGTACGTCATGCAATCTCCATTGTCATTGTAGGTATTGTGCTAGTAACTGTGGTCCCGTGAACCAGACTACGGCATCTGCCTTTTAAAGGGATATTAACGTGTGCATGTGGATTGCTTGGTGACCTTTGAAATTTTGTTTTGAGCTGCTGTCAGAAATATCATTTTTCTTTCTGAAATAGATTTGAACGTCTGCAGAGGTTGATCAAGCTAGGATAGTTTTAATAAAATATTAATCTCTCTTTTTTAATGTCAACCAGCTTTTAAAACTGTTCATTGGCTACCTGAAACATCAGCTCAAGGCACTTGTGTTGATTACAATAAATGCCTTTTCCATTAAACATTCTTGTGGTCAGAGTGCATTTAGAGGATAGAAGTGTTTCCAGTCTCGTTCGTCTGCCATCCTGTTTTCCAAATTCTCTTGGTTTTGAAGTAAGATTACTTTAACAGTGTATTTTCTTATCTCAATAAATAGTTAACTTAAAATTTTTATAATTCAAGGATGAGAGGTTGTTCTGAATTCTGGCATCAGTCCTTCAAAATCCGGATAGTTGAAGGACACCAACTTTTAATAAACCTTAACTTAAATATCCAGTTTAAATATATCTTGTCATTAAAAGGTTCTTTACATCTAAAACGCTGACCTTTCAAGATGTACACAAGACTGTTCTCAAACTGAGTTTCTGAACACTGGCCATGAAACCACTGTCTTGGGCTGACAAATGGATTGGAAATAAGCTACCCAACCCTGGGAATGGGCCATTAATTTTAATCAAAGGTGATGCAGGAAGGCGAATGGGATGCCTGACAATGTCAACAGCCCAGTAGGTGTTAAGAGACCACACAGCCTTCCTTGTTACTTGGCCGGGCCATTAGTTGAGGTTGGGTGAAGACAGAAAGCCATGTCTGGAATTGAATGACCAGGTCACTCCAAAATCTAATGGAGAACTCCTCATTTCAGAAATCACGCTGTAATGTCATTAGAAGTCAAGGACGGCACTTAGAAAAAATCAGAGGGAAACAAAAAATTTTAACCAAGAACCTAGCTAGTTTTTCAAACTTTGTAAAGCTCTCTATTTTCTCATCTTTTTCCCTTCTGAATGGATCATTGATGTTTATACAGGATCAAGAAATCAAACAGACCTAGGAAAAAATCTCAAATCCTGTTTGCTTTTCATTCAGAATTACATATTGTTGGTTATAAAACTCTGGTAAATGCCAGAAACAATAGCATACCAAAGGATTTAAGCAGGATGATTAATTCTCTGTGGTGATCTCATTGTCCTTGTCCCTCTCTAGTGTTCTTGTGTGTAGGAATAGCTTCACTAATAGAAACTAGACTTTCTTAATTGCTTTAATAAAAGTATTTGTTTTATAATTGTAAAGGCCACTGTACCTTACCGTAAATTGTCAGTATTGGCTGATAACATTAGTGATACTCATGGTAATGAAACCTTTTATTTTAATCAGTAAGTATATTTCATTATTTTGAATATTTTCAATTATATAAAAAAAGTAGCATATGACAACTTGAATTATAAAGTTTATACTAAAGACATAAAAATGCACAAGGGACAAAGAGGCATTCTTATATCTATTCTTCATGTATTCTGACACAGTGCCGCATGCATAAGAAAGAGATATATAACTGTGTTAGTAATTTCTATACGTTTTTAAGAAAGAAAAGCAATTATGTTGCTGTCTCATTAGTGGAATACTGTAATAAGTAATAGTATTTGTTCTTCCTGTAGATGAAGATCAGCTCCGTGCAAAGGGTTATGACAAAACACCAGACTTTATTTTACAAGTACCAGTAGGTAAGTTCTTAAACTCTGTTATGCATTTGTTTATAGAGAAAAGGAATTTTTTTTTTCATAGATTTAAAATTATTTCTTAAACTACCAAAAGTTACCAGAGTAGATTAGCTTTATAATATTATATCTGAATGGGTGAAATTGCTGGAAAAGATTATTTTAAAATAGCAGAAAATAATAGGCTCAGAAGAAACCTATCCCTTAAAATATTTTACATATATTTGAGAAATAAATGTCTGAAGATATTTTAGTTGCTGCTTTCAAGTCACTTCTCAAAATATTACATATTTAAAATACGGTTCTGTTGAAAAGCCAGGCTCACTTTTGTTTGCTTTCATATTCCTTGTCAACTTACACAGTCTCAGAATAGGAGAAGGACTTTCGAAGATGATGATGAAAATAAAAGGGATGTGATCGTAGCATAAATGTTCCTTGTAACAAACACATGCGATGTGTTGTTTTATAATTATGTCCGTAGATGACAGGGAGGGTTTAGCCTCTGCTCATTAATGTGAAGCATAGAGAGGCCTATGCAGAGTTCAGAATTTTCAATTTTCCCTTTCCTTTGCTCCATATTAGTAATGCTTTGTCCCTTAGCTGTAGAAGGGCACATAATTCACTGGATTGAAAGCAAAGCCTCATTTGGTGATGAATGTAGCCACCACGCCTACCTGCATGACCAGTTCTGGAGCTACTGGAATAGGTAAGGTCCCATTATTTTTCCCTTAAGATAAACGATACTCAGCTGAAATCTCATTAGAAAAAATATTTTGTTTAGCTGGTAAAAATGCTGGTAGCCTTTGTTTCTAGTAAATACAGAGACTTGATTAATGTATTCATTTCAGATAATTTAAACTTCCCTGCTTTCATAATGTTGCTTCATTTTTTAAAACTAAAAATCTTCACATAAGGTCAAAATTAGTATATGCTATTTTCCATTTTATAGCAATAATCCTGGTGTCACTCAAATTATGGATAATAAAATGTAGTTCACATTATGATATTGACATTGACTTTTATCCTCTTGATGTGAAATCCCTGCCTACTGCCAAATGTTAAAAAGTATTTTATCCTCAGCTCTCATAGAATATACAACAACACAGGGATGGGCAAAAGTAGATTTACCATTGTGAGTACCCAAAACAGAGTTGATTCTTATACTATTTTTATTTATGAATTGAGGATTATGTTATTTATTATTATTATTAACCTCTTTGGCCCACCTCTATATAAAAGGTCAAAACAAATTACCTTCCATCAATAAAAAACGGTTTACCTACCAACTTCACAGTCAACATTCCTGAGGTCATGGAAATCTCAGTGATTAAGAAAAATGTGGTGTTGAAGGAGACCATATTCCAGCCATCTTATTAATGCCATATTACTGAGTACCCACTATGTGCCTGGGCCTGCACAGTATCTCAGTTAATTCTCACAAGGAAGCCACTTTTACTCCTACTTTACAGATAGCTAACTGATACTCAAAGAGAGAAAATAAGTGTCCTACAGCTAGTCATCAGAGGCCTGCATTTGCCTCTCCCACTTGCTAACGTGTTATTTCCAGCACAACTATATTTTCATTTACAATACAGGTGTTGAAACTGGCTTTTTCTGTTATTGAAATCCCCAGTTTTCACACCACACATCCCAACCCTCCTTAGAACAGGAGGTGGGTTCAGGGGTAACCTTCCTAGATGAACTGTGTTCCTCTATCACTGCCGAAGAGTAAGAATGCAGGAGTAAGATGACATTGGCCCAGAACATTAAGGAATGAGACAGTAGCATCTATGGACAATAAGTCTTATCCTGGGGGGGAAACAGTGGCAGACTACAGAATTGGGCATTATATTGTTACTCAGCCTTACAAAAGGCCAGCGGACCTGCCTGTAGCAGCTGTGCTAACCTAAGCCCACTTTTTGCCATGGTAACAATGATCATGACAAAATGCTGAATGTAATGGCTTTCTTGATTTTCTTGTGTAATTGTGCGTAGCATCCGAGCTTTACTTTACGGGGATGGAGGAGAAAAGTGCAAAATGTTTTAGAAATCATTGCTGTTTCAGCGTTTCCTGTCTTTTATTCAGCCATTATTCAAATTAGCAGTAATGTTGCAAATTGAATTTTCAATTTTTAGCAATTTTATTATGAGTTTGAAATAGTAAAGAAAGCATCATTTTTGATGGTATAGGAAAAGCAATGACAAGAGAATCAAATTGTATAAGTTTAAGTTTCTGAAGGATTTTAAAAACGGATTAACTCCATCATTATGCTGTGAGACTATCTCTCCGTTTTGGTACTGGTCAACTCTTAAGAGGAATCCCAAATAGCAGAGCTTACTTAAAAATTCCATAAGCATATATTTATTCTAAAACAACTCTTTTTGAGTGCCTAGTACTTCCTATTTTAGAGGCTGATTAAATAACCTACTCGCCTGTATGGATGGATCTACGGATTATTGACATGGCTGGAGAGGATCCAAACAATAGACGATTTAGTATAGTTTCCTTTGGACTGGATTTTAGATTATTTTGTTATAAGCTACTTTTATATTCTAGTCATGATTGGCTTACACCACTATTGATTTACATTCCAT